GTAATTAATACGGCCCTGCTTATAAAGGCACGAGAGTTTTGACGACCCTACATCTCAGTCCCTAACTATGCCCCCTTGTATACCCCAAAAGAACCCCGTAACCCATTTAAAGCGGCCATAGTGTTAACAACTCTAAATCCTAGCCCCTAACCCCTATACCTCCTTGTATATGCACCCCAATCTCCAAACCTTAAAACCCAAATCAAAAACCTTAAATCCCAGACCCTTTCGCCCTAAACCTTAAACCCGAACCCTAAACCCTAAATCTCAAACCCTAAGCTCCTAAACCCAAAAGCCTAAGCCCTACAAGGAGGCGTGTACATAGTTTGCCTGGTGTTTCCGGTTGTTTCCGCCATTTCTGGGGCGGGGTGAGGGGGGGAGGGGGGGCGTTCGTGTTCCAAGAGCATACTGTAAGCAGTGCATCCATGCCCAAACCATAATCCCGCTCGTGTATCAAGAGCATACGGTGACCAGAGCATCCATGCCCAAACCTTAATCCCGTTCGTGTATTAAGAGCATACGGCCACCAGTGCATCCATGCCCACGAAAAGTTGTCCAGCCATGGTCAAGCGACAGAATCCAGTCTGGAATCCTTTCACGTGAGTCATGCAAAAGATGACTTCGTGCGGACGGTGAAACACCACAAGGCTCCTCAATGTGTTGTTGCGGGTATGCAATGCATCGACAGGTTCTGGCAAACGCTCGAAGAGCATGTCCCCCACTCCTTGCACAACAAAGAAGGTCCAGGCAAGGGTGTCTCTCCTACCCTCCTGGACTATGTGCACTCCTTCCTCTGGCGGTACAATCTACCTGAGGATGTCAACATGATGAAGCTCTGGGAGCCATCTGCTGAAAAACGATGTTTGAAGGCGTGCTTTGCCCAAACTACTTTCTGGGGTCCCAAGGCCTCCTAAGAGTCATGTGTACGGAATACTGCCAGGTGCAGTATTTTCCAGCCTTCTTGTGCTCAAACGCACTAGTTTCGAGCAATTATGCTTTTGACCAGACCATGAATCCCCCGCAAAAACCAATACTTCGCGAGAGTGCCCCGAAGGTCCAAGAGCCCAAAACCACCAGGCAAACTACGAACACGCAACCCCCTACAACCCATACCCTGAACCCGAAACCTTAAACCATAAACTTGAACGTGGCGACAGCGCCGCTGACTATAAACGTGGCAGGCTTCCGGCCTGATCTGCGGGCCTAGGGCGGTAAAGCCTCCCAAGACAACACTTTTGGCCTTCTCAGTGCTTTCTAGCAGTTACAAGCAGGCGGGCCTCCCAGCGCCTTGTAGGCGCCTTTGATCCGCCTTCGAGTGGCTCCCAACAGAGCCCCGGCCAGAACCCGGCAGCCTTAGGCCTTTCCAGGTCCTCCAGTTCCCGACTTGCCAGAGCTTCCAACGCCAAGCCACATTGGGCCTTCCACGCCCAGCGCCGCGCCTCCAAGTAAGTGTTCCTCCGCTTCCCAATCGTGTAGAGAGGCAGCTTACAGGATTTGGAATCTTTGGCCAGACCCAACGGATCCATGCGTCGGGGCCGGCCAAGGCCTCGGCTATCCATTGCTCGAAACCTTCTTTCTTGAAACTCATAAGCTCGAACTCCAAGTCACCGCACACCATTTGAGAATGCTGACTGCAGCGGTGCAACGAGGAGTGAACAGCAGGACTGGGGGAGAAGAGAAACAAGGAAGTCCCCCTTGCTAAAGGGGTTTCTTGGGTAGGAGCCCTAAAGTATCTTAATTCAATGAGCATGGTTTGGGCGGTTGTGGTGGCTACTCAGTGCGCACGCACGCGCGCGCGCGCGATAGGGTGCAAGGTGCACACCCTGCGCGCGTCCACTGATGCACACCCTAAAACCTAAACCTTAAACCCCAAAGCCTAAACCCTATATCCCAAATCCTAAGCCCTAAACCCCTAACCCCTAAACCTGAACCTTAAAGCCCAAACCCTAAGCTCCTAAATCTCAAAGCCCAAGCCCTACAAACCTAGACCTTAAACCCTAAACCCTGAGGAGGAGCTCACGGCCAGGGACGAACTGCTGCCGGACGACGCCTGTGACTCGGGGACTTGCCACCTCGCCCTGAGGCTCGAGGAGCGAAAGAACCCTAAAAACCCACAGGCCTTCGGGTTTAGGGTTTGGGGTTTAGGGTTTAGTTAAGGGTT